TTATTCATTACGTTTGCCGTGCCTGACCATTGTAAACGAAATATCTCTTGCTCAATCTAGATCACTAACCTTCCTAGGCATAACTACAATACACTAGTACGCGACCTTCGCAGGCCGCCAGCAGCAGGTAATAAATTTTAGGTAAGTAGCGAATCTGTCACCCGACCTGTCACTTGTGACAGGGGGTTGGATGATCGATTACCCGAGTAGGTCGGGTAGCAGGACCGAATTCGGTAAGGGAAGATTTTGGGCATGAAACCTCAGGCCCTTTTACAGTATAAATAAATATACATTTTTAGGGCTTTAAATAAGGCGAGACTTTTTTATACCGTGTTTAGCGAAGCCTCCGATTCTGAAATTGTGGATTTCAAAATAAAAATAACATTTTATTATAAATGTGTTAGCGTACGAGCCGCCATGAAAAATTGAAAAAAAGAAATAAAAATAAAAATTTATATTTATTTTTATTCTGTCCTCCGCTACATGGAATCCCTTTTTCAGAAAATTTTATCGTTGATTTATTGAGCTAAAGCATTATTTTATAATAAGACATTAAAAAAATTTAATAAAAAAATTATGCTGTACGAAAGATTTACTAACTTTAGATTCTTATAAATTAACGCTTTTAATTAGCAAAAATTATGTCATTTTTCATACTGTATCAGTGTGGGATCATCGCATCACCTAATAATAGTACTATAGGCCTACTTGATCTAAATTTTAATTTTATTCACTTGTATGTTCAACATTTCTTACTCTATGCTAATACTCACACGACTAGCCTAGCCTAGCCTCTCACACGACCCATGGAGAGGCTAGGCTGTGCTGTAAGTTTCGCCAAACAAAATATTGAAAGCAAGATATATTATTGATATAATTTTTGAGGATTTTTCGTAATATTTTATTGCAAAAAAGAAAAAGACAATACAAAAGATTAGTACACCTATGCAATTTTCTTTGTAAACCAGGAGAGCATATGAAAAAACGTGAGAAAAAAAAGTGGCCGGGTGTCGGGACACCAAAACGGGAGCCTCCCGGCCAAAAACTGTACAAAATGTTACATGTATGGGCCCCGCCAATTGATACCTTGCTCTCACACTAGGCCTATGATGAAAGAAAATGTTCAGATAGGCTGAGAAGACAGTTGTTTTAGATAAGAATTCTTTCTATTCTATACGCAATACATCATTATCAATAATTTGTTGATTTAATTTTATCCTCAGAAAGCCCTCCGCTATCCTTAAAGAAATATGTATTCACTCGCCGCTCTACATAGCTAGCCAGTACATGTAGTGCCTACCGAGTTTTCTAGCTAGTGCAGCTGCTAGCAAAGAGTGTCATATCGAAGGTCATAGCGATGTATTGTGCACAAGCGCTATTGCCCTGCGGCGGTAACCCAGTAATTGTTTTACGACCAGATCAGTTATCATGTTCATTAAAAAGTCATCACTGACAGTGACTAGGGTCACGGTGAACAGGATCGATCATTTGGTCTTGCTGTTTTGTGACTCCTTTTTGTTTTCTTTCTCTATGGTATTGATTATTAACGATGATCTATTTGCAATTTATTTTGTTAAAAACTAATTTTCGGCAGCGGCCATTTTGAAATTCAAAATGGAGGCCCAAGAATCTACCCAAAAAAATGACAAAGTTTAAAAATATGACATAAGACAACAGACTATAACGGAGGGATGTACAGGTAGTATTCACTGATACTTGAGTATGTAATAGCGCCACCTATGAAATAAAGGCGGCAACAGAGAATGGTAGTCAAGGTACATTATTATAGGAGCATAAATACTGTTTACTAGATACATTTAGAAGTTAATTTGATTTGAGCTCAAGATCAAACATTTTACGAAATACTGACTTGTGGAAACTCCAAAATGTCAGCCAATTGCCACCAAATGACCCCATGTGACATATATATTTTGATGGGAATATATAAATAAACCCACTAGACACTTTCTGATTTAAAATATATCCTAGTATCTGGTATCCTAATCAACAATAGACCTATTGAAATCTTTTATTTTTATTTTTGCCATATACAGTATCTAGATAAATCAAGGAAGACTGGGGTATAGTCTACGACATTTTAATATGATAATCAAGTGTTAAGAAGAAATAGATGATGAGTCTTGAAACAAACACGCAGGTATGTGTTCATCATCATTATTATCATTATCATCATCAGCATCACCATCGTCGTTGTCATCGTCATCACCACCACAACATTATTCAATTTTTAACATTTTTTGTAAGATTTTCTTTTTTCATTTAAAATGTTAGTTGTCTCTGTGAAAAATACAAATTGGTTGTTTTTTGTTATTGAATGTTAGATATCCTGACCTTTTTAATTGGCAAGTCCTTACAGGCTGCCTCTACAGGCAGATCTGCCCTTACCCCACCCACCCCCCAAGGAGAAAAAATATACTGTATTTGTTACAAATTAGTAGATTTCTTGTTTAAATTGTTTAAAGCCCCATTCCCGGCAAAATTTCAGTTGTTACGAAAAATCTAATTTTTGTATAATGTTTTGTAATGCATCTGCATCGACTCGCGCCTGGCGTGACCTCGATCTCAATC